ACATTGGCTACCCAAAATGGGGGGGACTACAAAGGCATGAAGTGACTGGCTTACAAGTTTTCAAGAGGGAGCTTAGTTTCAGAGGATGCAGGGGAAGGTAGAATTTCCACTCAGTGGTTTACAACCTCTCTAGACAGGACTGGTGAAAGGAGATGGGAATAAGACTCTTGTGGTTCAATAGTGAATAATTGGTGTCAGGACTGATTGTGAGTGTTGCAATGTAAAAGTAGACGTTTTGTAACAAAAGAAGGGGAGTAGTTGATCTTGCAGTCCAGGAGCGGAGGACCCTGGAATCATCACGGGAGAAGAGCAGAGTGTGGGACCCTATCCAGAGAAGCAGCAACACCAGAGATGGAGGCAGAGACAATGACGTGGAGAGATGGAGCTGCTAGGGACTCTAGACTCAAGGAGGGAGAGGGGCTGTGTGCTGGCAGCTGTGGGGCAGACTTGTAGGGTATGACCTTTGGTTGTTTGAATGGTTATATATTCCTGAGTGCTTTGGTGTACATCAAAGAAAAAACAAAAAAACAAAACCCAGAGAGAATGAAAGCAAATACTGTTGAATGATGATGCATGGAGGGGATTGTAATCATTGCAATGAAACAAAATACGATAGGAAGAATGCAAAACTGATGCTCTCCCATGTAAACTATCACTCAATTCACAGTAGAAATTTTTTAAAAACCCACACAATTAGGTTTATCCTGTGGTCAAATCTACCCATGTACAGTTGACCTAGTCATTTTGAGTAGCACAGCCACATACCAAGAAAGGAAATTACTGTTGGTGACCTTGTTTTACCCCTTAATTCTCATTACGGCACTTACATGAAGATAAGTCCCAGCTGAGGGTCCAGATCGCAGGGACTTAAAAGCTTGGTATAAATGTTGCTTAAAATTTTCCACTTGCTGCTGGACTTCAAGGCTTCCTACAGAACAGGCCAATATTTTTCATAATTTCTTAAATCCGGAAGTATAACCTAAAATTTTCCAAGTGCACATTTGACAGCCAACTATTCCATTTCCTTAAAAATGTTATTTATGGCTTGGTGGGGGAAAAAGCAAGTTTGATCCTACCCAGAGAAACAGAGATGCCTGAGATGGAGGCAGAGATGATGACGCAAAGTGATAAAGCGACTGGGGTCTTTGGACCCAGAGAGGGAAAGGGACTGTGGGCTGAAAACTGGGGGGAGAAGGGGGAAGCGTAGGGGGCAGGTTTCTGGGATATACCCTTTGGGTGGTTGATGATGCATGGAGGGGATTGGAACCATGGCAATGAGATGATATATGATGGATTTAATGTAAAATTAAAGTTCCCCCATGTAAACTACCATATAATTCACAATAAAACATTTAAAAAAAAAAGACAAGTTTGGGTGTGTGTCAAGAAAATCCAAACATAGTTTGAAAAACAGCAAAGAGTTTAAAGGTCCCTCTCTGGTCAGAGTGAGTATCCTATTTCTGATGGCCATTGAGTGGGGAAAACCATCAGATTTCATTCATTATATCTATTCCTGAAATACTTGTGTGGGGTTAAGGGTTCAGAAACTTAAAAAAGCTTTTGTGCCTCATTGAAAACAAGGCAGTCTATATGGGCATGGGTACGAAATCACTTGTGTAGGAATCAGGCCCCACTCAAAGATGGTGGCCAACCACATGCAAAGTGGTGTAGTCGGCCACTCTCTTTGAGCTGTTTCCTACTCTGGTCAAAATCGGACACACAAGACTTGGTTGCTACACAATGCATATGTTACCCTTGTTTCTGTCAGCCATGACTAAACCACTTGGAACTGGTTTGAAGTCTTGGTTAAAAGAAGGCTTGTTAAGGAGAAACCATTGACCTCTGGACTTTGGTTAAGATTAGGAGCAATGGGAGACATGGATAAGAGATCCAAGGGTGGGGAAATGGGATCCGTATATTCCTCTACACCCTTATGGAACTAGGGGTGTCACTGACTTCTAACTGCTAGTCCCTTGCATGCTTCATAGAAGTCTGGCTGGCCCAGTGGTTAAAGCACTCACCTGCTAACCAAAAGCTGAAAATCAAGCAACTGCTCTGTGAAAGAATGATGTAGCAGTCTGCTTAAGACTTACAGCCTTGGAAACCCTACTCGGGGAGTGGGCAGGATTTTCTGTCCTGCTTTTTAGGGTCACTGAGGCAGAATCAACATGACACTAATGTTTTTTTTTTTGGCGGGGGGTGGGGTGGAATTTGGAGTGCTTCCTAATCCTTTGTTGGTTTCTCTGTAAATTAACCCTGTCTACATAGCAGTTTGAAACTACCAGCTGTTCCGCGGGAGAAAGATGAGGCTTTCTTCTCCCATAGATTTACAGCTTCGGAAACCCTGTACAGGGTCACTATGAGTTGGAACTGACTCCATGGCACATAACCACCACCACACCTCTGTAAGGAGCTCTGGTAGTGTAGTGGTTATGAATCGGGCTGCAGAACTCAAGGTCAACAGTTCAAAACTACCAGCTGTTTCGTGGGCGCAAGATGAGACTTTCTGCTCCCGTAAAGACTTACAGCCTCGGAAACCCTGTGCAGGGACGCTATGAGTCGGAACTGACTCCATGGCACATTATCACCACCACCAACCACACCTCTGTAAATTACCTCTTCATAAAACACTTTTCAGTTAAACTGTTAAGAATGTGTCATCCTCATGGAGAAATGGAGCAGCTGAGGACTCTAGACTCATGGGAAGAGAAAGACTGTGTGCTGGCGGCCAGGAGGTAGGTTTGCAGAATGTGCCCTTGGGTTGTTTAAATGGTTAGATATTCCTGAGTGTTTTTGTGTACGTCAAGGGAAAAAAAAAAAAAATAGCAGAGGGAATAGAAGCAAATATTGTTGAATGATGATGCATGGAGGGGATTGTAATCATTGCAATGAAATGAAAAGTATAAAACCGATGTTTTCCCATGTAAACTATCACTCAATTCACAATAAAAACTTAAAAAACAAAAAAGTGTGTCATCTTGCCAGGGTCCTGAAAGATACTGTAATAAGAATTTATTTTAAACGGAGTTGAAATAAACTTTCAAGTTTATTAATGTAGGCTACAAGAAACTTAAAAAAGAGAAGGAATACAAAAACAGTGACAATATTTATAAATACAAAGTGATGGTGATAGTGGGTACAGTAATAATATTCAGATTAAGCCATAGGTGTTTTAAATACACAGACTGAATAAACAATTATAATGAAATACTGGTGATTTGGATAAAATGAATATAATAACTAAATGAATAAAATCAATGCTAGTTTCTACTTACAAAATGTATAGTTATATTACTTTGATGTAAATTATTCTATGGTACTTGGAAATACCATAGGTATTAAATAGATAAAGACATTTGGCAATTTTTTGCTTTCTTTCTTTTTTTTTTCATAAGGAAAACAAAGATACACTACAACCCAATTTTCAGATTATGCTGTCAGATCAATGTGGATTTTCATATACTTGATATTCATTATGGGGTTAAGAATGTTATTATAAATCATCTCATTATTTTTTTTCATTAATTCTTGAGAAAAGTAAGTTGAAAGCATAGAGGAGTTTTGAACAATTTCCAAGTAAATTCCAATGCTATTATTTCCAATCATGTCATCACATTAATGCTTTAAAATCACTGATTTGAGTAATGTATTCAACAAACATTTGTAAATTGTGTCCGATTAATAGAGACTGGAAGAATACTTTAAAAAATACAACTCCTGTGTTGTATTATGTTTTCATCTCAAGTCATAACCACAGGAAGCAGTAACTCGAATGTTCAAAGTCATTTAACTAGCAGGCCTAGCTTGTGTGATACATGCTTGGAGGTACTGGCTAGATGTCTCTTTACAGAATGCCATATTCATTAGACATATTTCACACTCAGTGCAGCTATATATGTATTGCTCTACTCTGTTTTTCTTGAGGGCACGTTTGAGTGAGTCTCATTCAACTCTGTATCCCCAACACCTAACAGAGTGCTAATACCACAGTAGGTATTCATGTTTGCTCCATTATGTTTCTAATTTAGAATGGACTTTTGCAGGGTAGATTTTGTTGTTGTTGTTTTTAAAAAAGGAAGAGAAGTCATTTATACTCATTATCCCCTATGATATCACTTCCTGTTTTGTCAATTTCTCATAAGCATGATGAGGTCACAGGAGGCTAGATGGAATGTGGAGGTCCCTGGTTCTCTGCTATCTTGGATGCTCAGATGAAACAGCTAGAGGACTCCTGACATGGCCCTGAGTGCCATCTACTGCTCGGAGTTCTGCATCATGCTGAATGAGGTGAGCAAGTGCAGCTCCCAGGGCTGGGTCTCCCTGAAAGCTGATCGAAGGCCCCTAGTAGATTTCTATGCTCATTCTCGGTTTACATACATAGTGTGTAAAGCATCAAAAATTGCTACCCATGCCAAAAGGAGGACTTTTCATTTGTTTAAATAACTTGAAGAATTCAGACTTCATATGTCTAAAATAAAAAACACTGGAGCTTTTCTACACATTGATAGTACTATATCTTATCCCTTAATAACGTACACACTTTCTGTTGTACAATTTCAAAATATACTCTGAGATCTGTCACTATTGATGGCCATTTTCATGTATCTGAGACTGAACCTCATCAACCTAGCATATTAAGTCAGAGATTCTTACCATACATACTCACTGAAAAAAAGGTTTTCAAAGTGCCTACTCTATACTGCACTGCAATATATGTATATATGCACACACACATATAGATATCGTCTAAATATATCAAAAAGCAACAGTTCTGTAGCCTTGGCAACATTCCCTCTGAATAACACTGTCTTCTATCCCTGTTATCTTTTCCTGTAATGAACAAACATATATGCTCAGTGGTTCTTGTGAGGAGACATGCAAATAATACGTTTGCTGTTTTACATGGTGAAGTAAACACTTTTTTGCAGGGACTGATAGAATCCTCAAGCTATCTGCTTTTCTTTCACCTTTTCTTTTTAAGCTAACAGCAGTCCCCTTTCTTAAGCTAACAGCTTTTTGTATATGCTGCTATTCAAGTTAGTAGAGCAGGTATCCATTTTACTTGTCATGAGTTGGCCACTACTGTTGTAACTGATGGGGCCAGAGCTTTCTTTGCAGCATAAGATACTATAGAGGTGCCTCTGGCAGTCAGAGGAAGCATAATAGTAGATCAAGGGATCAATGCAACAGCTTAGGCTGCTGACACAGACACAGAGGAGGTAGGCAAAGTAGGCAGACTCCATTGAGGAATTAGAAGAAAAGAGTGAATAGTGCATAATCAGGAGGACATTCGTGGGTCCAAAGCAAATGATGAAGATGCAGAAAACAGCAGCTGACAAGAACAAAGCCCGGGTCTTCTTGCTCTGTTGGGCAACTGTGGAAGAGCTAAGACATCGAATGATAGACACGTAACAGACTGTGGAAATGGCCAATGGCACAAAGAAGAAGATGGCGGAGAAGGATGTGAAATAATACACGAAATAGTTGTTATGCATGGTTTCATTGAGCACATCATGACAGGTGGTTATGTTGAGGCCTGGGACCTGGGTGGTTTGCTCTTTGAGGACAAGAGGTACCACGCCTCCGATGGCCACAGCCCAAATGGTCAGACAAGCAAAGGAAGCCCTCCCCAGCGTGCGCCAAGAGAGGGACTGCATGGGGTACACCACAGCCAGGAAGCGGTCAATACTTATGACTGTCATCAGCATGATGGAGGCATACATATTACAATAAAATGCAGCAGTGACAAAGCGACACATTTCAGACCCAAATTTCCAGTCACTTCCGGAAAAGTAATAGCTGATCTTAAAGGGGAGCACAGTCACAAAGAGCACATCCGCTGTGGCCAGGTGTAACATGTATACCACAGCAGGCTTCTTGATCTTCATTTTCATGATGAAGACAACAATGGCCATGATGTTGAGAGGAAGGCTCATGATAAACACGCCAGTGTAAACAGCAGGGACAAAGAGGGTCAGCCAGGGACTGGTCAGATAACTTGAGGCTTCTTTCGAGATGAATATAGGAGGTGGTTTTTGAAGAAGATGACTTTTATTGATGGAGGTGAATCTCTCTTCGGTAAAATTGTTTTCATCTTTTTCCTCATAGACATCGGGTGGAATTTTCTCATAAATGTCAACAGAATTCCTGATAACAAATGAACGGGGTACCAGAGTAGCATTTTCTAGTTTTGATTCTGGAAAACAAAATTTAAAAATGAATACATTTTAAAAGGCACAAGAGATGCATAGAAAATACATTTAACTTTGGCTTATTTGTTTGTGTCTTACTGGGAGAGCGGTTGGCAAAGAAGAGGAGATGCGCCATTGGATTATAGATTTAATTAGAGAATTTGCTAACAAAAAAGATTGTACATTTTGTTTTGACGCAAACATTTTTCTAACTCTGCTCCTCAGAGGGATAGAGAGGAATGAAAGATTTTCAAAGGTGTCCCTGGAGACACCAGCAATGGCGGTGAACCCTTGACACAAGGGGGAAAAATAATGATTTCTTTTTTTAATTAAAGCTAAGAGTTTTATTGAAGGAATAAAGTGATCTAGATTGGGCAGCACCTGGGAAGGATTCACCGCAGAGCTCTGACATTCTGAAAGAGACGTGAGCTTTTTACACAGAAAAGGAGTGTGTGCGTATAGTTTGGGATTTTGGGGGTTTGGGATTACACATGGCTGGCTACAAGCTAAGATTTTACACAGCTGATTTTTAACATCAATTTCTTGGTGCCAACTTAGTAAACTACTCACTGAGATCTGCTATATAAGCAGTCTTCTGAGCTCATCTTGATAAACACTGACATTTTTTCACAAAGTATATTCTTGTCTCTTCTATGATTTCTTTTTCATACTAGCCAACATCTATAATAAACAAATCACTTCCAACTTATGAGAGTAACTCAAAAGGTATTGCTACTAGGGTTCATTCCAAACCACATGTGCTTCAATATGTCTCTGCAATCAGTGGATGGCTGCAGACAAGTTCTTTCAGTAATATATTTGTTATACTCTTGTTAGAGTGCCTTTAAAGAAGGTACAATCCAAAGAAGTAGGTTCTGAGGGGATCTGCTGGACCAGTTACATTCAAAGGACATACAGGTCAGCTCAGAAGGTTATGGTTACTGTTTTCCGGGACTCCAGAGGTGTAATCGTGATAGATTCTCTCAAAGGATACAGGGCAATTATGGAAGCTTATTAAGAAGTTTTAAGAAAACAGAAAACTGCTTTAGTGAGAGAAAGACCAGAAAAGTTGATCCAAGATTCCTTTTTTTTTCCCATCATGACAGTGTACTTGTACATTCTTTGAGGGTAGCATGGGCTGCTGTTCTATGTGAATTTCACTGGGAAGCTTTACCCTATCCATCATACATACAGCCCTGATCTTGCCCCTTCAGACTTCTTGTTATCAAAACTCAAAGAACTTTAAAAGGAAGACACTCTAAATCACTCAGGGATGCAAAACGACTGTTTTGACGTGATGTAAATTGAAGAGCACAGAATGTATGAGAGAAGGGTTAGAGAGCTGGAGACATCGCCTTCAGAAGTGTTTACACCAAGATGGAGGAGATGTCAAGAAATAGTAGCTTTACATTTTGATATGTTTGTTTAATAAAGGTTTTTGTGATTTTTGTACCAATGCTTTTTGACCAACCCTCGTATTTAACAAGCACTTGACCGTCTTCTCCTCCATGTTTTTAAAGGCACATTTCTCTACTCAATGTACAATCACTCATGACATCCATCCTTCGATGGAAAACCCTATATCAAAAATTAAAGGAACTTCTTTTTCACTTTTCTAATTTAAAATATTTTTCTCGCTGTTGAGAAAATAAACAACAGAACATACACCAATTCAGCAATGTCTACATGTATTATTCAATGATAATGATTACATTTTCCAAGTTGTGCACTCATTCACACCCTCCTTTTCTGAGTTGTTCCCTCCCCACTTACAGACCTTCTAAGGTTTCTATCTAAATGTTCAAGTTGCTGTTGTCAATTTGATTCCATATGGATGGATCTTAAAAGTGCACGATGATCAAGGCAGACAGTCTTTACTAATTAGGCTACTGTCAAACCCACCAGCCGCTCTCAGAAACCCTAGTCAGGAACAGACAACAACAAGATGACTTCAGGGGATATTTTTAGTTTAAGGTTTAAAGATTATCTCAGGGCAACAAGTTTGAGGACTTCATTCAATCTTAATGACTCTAGAAAGTCTGGATTCCATGAGAATCTGAAATTCTAGTCTGCATGTTCTCCCTTCTGATCAGAATTCTTCTATAGAATCTTTCATCAAAATGCTCTGTAATGTTAGCTATCAAAAGGAGAGCGTTGCTCAGGGAGGCAATTAACGACACGTTCCATTTCCTCTTGAAGGAACATCGTAAAAATTATGGAGCTAGAGACAAATTCAGATTAGGATTTAGGGCTTCTAATTCTATATCCATTAGCCACGTGACACTAATTTTCCTCTATTATTTTTAGTTCGTTTACACAGTACAGTTGCTAATACAATTCCTGGTGACCCTATGTTTGTCAAAGTAGAACCACAGGGTATTCAATGGCTGGTTTTTAGGGAAGTAAATTACCATACCTTTCTTCCAAGGTGCATCTGCGTGGACTTGAACATCCAACCTTTTTGTTGACATCTGACTACATTAATTGTATGCACCACACAGGAACTCTTGTATTTATACAGTGGCTTGTCCCAAATCTCTCACCATATTTAGCTCGAAATCACAGTCTCTCAGGTTATCTCCAAATACAACTACAATGCACGTACTGCCTGAGTCATCAGCCCATCTTCTCCTTCAGCAGACCAGCAGAGCAACAGATATTTTGGACCACTCACAACAGGCAGATAGTGTTTCTCTGCTCAGTTCTAAAATGCCACCGGCATTAAGGCATGTGCCACTCCAACCAAGATCTCTCGAATATCAAGTAGATCTCAAAAGAAAGCTTCAGCTGCTAACAACATTCTTCTTTTGTAGCACAGTGGTTAAGCACTAAGCTGTTAACCAAAGGGTTAGTAGTTCAAACCCACTAACCACTCTGTGAGAGAAAGTTGAGGCAATCTGCTTACAAAAAGATTTATGGTCTTAGAAACCCTACCCTGTCCTGTCCTACACTGTTACCATGAGTCTGAACAGACTTGATGGCAGTCACCTATTTTTTCCTACCAAAAAGAACCATTTAAAACAGTCATCACAGAATCATTAAAATGAGATTTCAAGACCTGTCTAGCCTATAAAATACGGCAGCCAGAAGCATCCCACGAGAAATAGGATATGCACTCAAGCTGTAAGCTATACAAACGAATACAATACTCTGGTAACGTAGTGATTACGAATTGGGCTTCTAATTTCATGGTCAGTAGTTCGAAGCTACCAGCTGTTCCGCAGGAGAAAGATGTGTTTTTCTACTCCCATAAAAATGTACAGCCTGGGAAACCCTATAGAGGGTTGCTGAGTGAGAAAGAACTCCACAGCTCCCAACCACCACCAACAACTCCACAGCTCCCAACCACCA